AAAAAAAAAAAAACAATAATAAAACAAAAACCCATAGTGTATCGTCTCCCTCTGAAATCACAATGCTATGCGTTCCCCACGACACGAACACTTGGATAATCAGCCATATCACAATCTTCAAGCTGCATGATCCCCTTTCCCTGGCTATTCCTACCAGTACACAGATATAGCACTCTAGTTGTTTGTCCATATATAGTCGTCTGCCACTCTTGTCACCTCCACCTCTTCATCCGTGCTCCCAGCTCCATGCTCCATGTTCCATGTTCCAATCTCCGCTCTTCCCCCTCTCACCACCGGCGCTCTCTTGACTTCCCAATAATTCTGTCCGATCTGTAGTCGGTTCGCCCAGCTCCCAATATCAAATCATCCTTTTCCCCACACGCCTTCGTGCTCCCCTGTGCGACTGACTCCCCCTACCCTGGTTCCTGCTGTGCGGTGAGATTTTTGATAGACTAGATCCATGCCCGCTCTCTGACTAGTCCAGTCCTCTTTTCACCATCATTCATATAAATCCCACCCGCTAAGCCCAAAAATCTTCCTGCGCTCACTGTTCTGGTTCGCCTCCCGGTCTTTCTCACTTCTCTCACCCATTCCCTTTATTTCCCTTTCTTGCTTCTCGTTTTTATTTCATATGCAACCCTATCCTGACCCTGATCCCCAAGCCTGTTTCATCATACCCGCGCCTGCGTTTCTTCTTTGTGGTATTCTCCGCCCTGCATCCTCCTCCTCCCATCCCTGAACAGCCACAGACTTCGTCCGCCAAAGTCTGTTTTGTCACAGCTCTGCTATTCATGGGCAACCCTCATCCATGGATACATTCTCCACGTTGATCTACTTAGCACCACTCACCCATTCTTTTTTTGCTACACAAACCCCATCACCACTCTAAACACCACACATACCACCCACCATTATTACTACTAACCATCATCGTTTCCGCCACTAATATTCACAACCGCTAATCTTAAAAAAGTAACCTCCACTAACACCCAACACTCCTCCCCCGTTGTTGTGGATGTATCAATACGCCAACCGTTTTTCGACAGGTTACGCCTGAACTTCAACAATGTCCTCGTCGCAGTCGGCCACTGCGACTCCGGACAGTAACAATTCCCCTTCTACTAAGGCCACCGACCAGTTGTCTGCACAAAATGCTTCCTCGCGAAGCGGAACCAGTGACTCGACTGCACCCAAACTTAACCCTGTTGTAAATGGTCTCCAGCCCGAATCGATGACCACTGCCACCACCACCTCTGCGTCCTCTCCGGCCTCTGATGCTATTCCTCAGAACACCACCGCTCCGTCGGCGACTGGGGCCGTTCCATATGGCACCCGTTCTAGAAATCGAGTTGGCGGCGCTCGACCAAACTACGCGGAGGATCGCGACATTGATACCGAATATGAGCTTGTTGCTTCAATGTCGCGGTCTGGTAGTTCCAAGAGACCACCTTCCAACAACCGCGGCGCAACATCCCCAAGCACGGACAATGACAGGGCGACTGGGGTGAACACGCGAAGACATGCGACCACAAATGGCTCGAATACTGCTCCGCAGACGAAAGAATCTATCCCCGGAACGTCGTCATTTTCTGCCAATCCAAGTAGCAATAGTTATACGGCGACAAAGAAGCGAAAACAACCTGGTTCTCATCACTCTACTCCGGCGTCGTCCACGCCAAACACCACTTCTCTCTCATCCACCAAGAAATTTATCGCCCCCGCAAACGTGTCCACCGAATACCAGAAAACGCATGTACAGAACATGTTGACTTTTAACAATTGTCAGGCATATCTAAAACAAGGAAAGCTGAAAGCAGACGATGGCACTATTCTTGGTCCCAATGGTACGTGAGCTTGAGATGTGGCCGTTGACGTTTTAATTCTACACTTCCAATAGATTTATCAACCCCCCAAGTTTACCGTGACTATCTAACTTGAGCTTCTTTCCTCTGTGCTAGACCATGTCTATTTGGTGTGCGAACCTCCCGGCGAACCCTACTACCTTGCTCGCATTATGGAATTCCTACCATCCAAAGATAACCCGGACGGCCCCATCGAAAGCATAAGGGTTAATTGGTATTATCGACCCCGCGACATCCACCGTAACGTTGCCGATCTGCGCGTCGTCTTCGCCTCAATGCACTCCGATACATGTCCGTTATCCTCACTTCGTGGTAAATGCGATATCAAACACCACTCCGAAATCACAAACCTCGATGAATACAGGAAGACTAAGGATTGCTTTTGGTTTGAGAAGATGTATGATCGCTACATCCCAGAGATATTACGATGTTATTCCGACGAGTAAGGTCATAAATGTACCGCAAAATGTCAAAAAAGTCCTAGATGAACGGTGGAAGTACGTCTTGGTGGAGTTAGGCCGTAGGAAGGATTTGACCAGCGCGGTCAAAACCTGCAAAAAATGTAGTTTATATGCCGCAAAGTGTGTAGCTAATTATCCCTTTCCACCTCTTTATTATATTTATATTGGGACGGCTCACTAATTCTACTACTAGTACGGATTCGGTGGATTGTGCTGTCTGCCACAGTACATATCATATGTACTGTGTTCGGCCTGTTTTGCAAAAGAAACCGGCACGGGGGTTCGCTTGGGCTTGTGCCCCATGCAGTCGTGCGCAAGAGCGAAAGCTTGAGGCAAGAAATACTCCCATCATCGGAGAAGCGTCAGCCGAAACGGAGCCAGAGCTTCCAGAGGAAGAAGAAGAAGACCCCGCTGCTCTGGCAGAAACCACCGAACGAAGCACTCCTGCCCTCCCGGACGTAGTTCGACCTGCCACTAGTGAGCAGATCGCTCAGGCAAAACGTTGGCCTTTCAGGTATTTGGGAATACATTGTCGAGTAGAAGATGCCTTGGACTATGACGATAGAATATATCCACGTGCCAGCTCTCGAATAGGCCCACGCCATCAAGCTAACGTTATCCCATGGCATGGCCACCCAGTTCAATATGTCAAAGCTGTCGAACCGAAAAAGAGGAACATCAAGTCTATGAATAAAAAAGATGTTAAACTTTCCAGAGAAGCAATTGCTACAATAGAAGCTGAGAAAGCTGAACGAGCTAAACGACCGAAATGGGTTCAAGATGAACCTGTGGGGTATATTCCTCGCGGAGAAGACGACCCAGTTACCGTGAACGGGAAACATATCAACACCGCAGAACTGCTTTTCAAGATGCCTGACCCTTCGCAACTTCCACCCCGTGGTGAAGATGATGCTCCAGGGCCCTCCATAAGTGATACCGACCGTGAAAAATTCATCGACGAGTACATGGAAAAAGCCAAAGAAATCGCCCCTTCTCTCAACGTTGAGAAATATTCTACGAACTTCCTGGACAAGGCACTTGCGCTTCTCTATGGAGAAAATTTTAATGTGGAAGCTGCACTTACAAAACTGAAACAAGTTAATAAGTACTCAGATCTCAAGGAGCCACATCTCCGTCCAGAAGAGGTTAAAGCGTTTGAAAACGGGGTGGCAAAATACGGCTCCGAGCTTCGAAACGTGACAAAGCATGTCGGAACTGTCCCACATCGCCACATCGTTCGATATTATTACATGTGGAAGAAAACTCCGAAAGGTCGTCAAATTTGGGGCAATTTCGATGGACGAAAAGGGAGGAAAGCAGCAAAGCAAGCAGATAATGCGTTAAAGCTAGTTGACGATGTCGCAGATGACCATGACGATTCGGCTTTTGATAACGAGAAGGCCAAAGACAAGAAACGAGGTTTTACGTGCAAATTCTGTTCGACGAGGTCTTCAAGACAGTGGAGGCGGGCTCCTGGGACCCCTCCTGGTTCTGCCGTTCCTGCAGACCCGAAACGAGATAGAGCGGTTCAGAGTCTCACTGTTGCCATTTGTCAACGATGTGCTGTTCTCTGGCGAAAGTATGGTATTCAGTGGGAAGATGCTGATGAAGTCGTCAAGAAGATTGGACAAGGAGGGAATAAGTCATGGCGCCGGCGCTACGAGGAGGAGCTACTGGTTCAACTTCTCACCTCGTCTGAGACCGATGTCAAAATCAATAGCACTACAGCAACAATAGCAACCTCGTTAGGAATTCCCGTGACTGCAGAAGTGGCTGCACCCCCTCCGCTTCCTACGGAACCTCCTAAGAAGAAGGTGAAGTCATCTGATCAGACCGGCAGCGCTCCTGGAACTACTACACCGGCTGAACCCGCTCCTGCTACGAAGAAGAAGGTGGTTGAGAAGCCTGCTGAACCCCCGCCAATTGCTCCCGAGCCACCTAGGGTTAGGACTCTCCCCTGCGCAGTATGCAATAAAATGGAACCCATGGGTGATCAGCATCTGTCCTGTCGTGACTGCCGCTTGACTGTTCATCGAGCTTGCTACGGCGTGAACCCTTCATGGAACTCGTCGAAATGGTTCTGCGATATGTGCTTGAACGACAGGAACCCCGCTATTTCAACGTCGTATGAGTGCGTTTTATGCCCAGTTACATACACTGAGCATGAGCTGATGGAACCGCCCAAGGTCTCTCACAAAAAGAAAACAGACCGAGAGCGTGAAAAGGAGCGACTGGAGAAAGAAATGGTTGCAGAGGCTAGCAAACTATATAAAATACGACAGAAGGAGGCTGGGAAACCGACAGGTCCCCGCGAGCCGCTCAAAAGAACTGCTGGAAACAATTGGGTTCACGTTGCTTGCGCAGTATGGGTGCCTGAAATTAAGTTTGGCAATGCAAAGGAGCTAGAACCTGCCGAGGGATTTGGACTGATCCCTGCTGAAAGATTCAGAGATACTTGCGATATCTGCAAGACGGACCAAGGCGCATGCGTTTCCTGCCACAACACCCCTTGCAATGCACGATTTCATGTCGGATGTGCCAGTCGATCTGGATACATTTTCGGTTTTGATATCACCCCAGTCAAGAGTAGTCGAAGAGACACCGTTAACACGATGAAATTGGGCGACGAGGTGGGTGCGGCTACGCCTGCTATTTGGTGCCCTCACCATGCCATTTCGACCATTGTCCATGAAATGAGTGAGCCTAGTGAGGTTCCGGGTTTAAATGCACTACAACATTATTGTCAGATTTCCAAGCAAGCCGACCTCACACTAACGGGTACTGTTCGGAAAGCCGCACATGTCCAACAATCTGTTGGGGTATCGGTTCAAAATGGCTTCCACCCGCCTAACCGACGAGTTTCCGTCAATGGAAGTGCCCCACACCACACCAAAGATAATAAACCGTCAGCAGAATCCACAACTCCGAGCCATGGAAGCAGCGTCATTAGGGAGGCCAGTTGCCATTCTATAACCTCTACCGAAAATAAAACGTGCTTCAGTTGCAAATCCGGATTCAGTCCGAAGTGGTGGACGGTCGAGTCATCTTTGGAATTCTCCGCGCCCTTGGGTGAAAACCGCTTTGTGATGAACGGTGTTGGCGCGACGGATGGTTCTGGTCCGGCTTATTCCAACGCAGCCCAAACAGGTGGCTCTCCTGCTCACGCGGAAAAGGTGCCGCCCGGGCCAACGTTGAACGGGGATGTCCTTATGATCGATGCGGACCGCACTATTTCGTCCAATCAAAACCCGTCGCGAGGCTCTCCAAGGTCTAGAACTCTGCATGAATGCCATAAATGCCATATCAAAAAGCAATCAACGTCACCAGTAGAACCGGAAGTTCGACCTTCTCCATACCCCGCAAAGCGGGATCCAAGCCAACCTGCGACCCGTATTCCCGAGTTCACTCAGAACCAGTATTCGCCATCACCACATGCCCACCCGGCACCGCAACCCCCAAATCTACCTATCCCCTCAATGGTACAGGTTCATGGACACGGTGCGGCAGACTGGCGTCCGGACTATGAACAACGGTCGCCCGATTATGGTCCAATACTCATGCATCATATACCACCCGGTGTTCCTCCACCATCTAGCATTCAATCACTTGGACCACGAAATTTCCATGGCGGCCCCGCTCCTCCTCCTCCTCCCCCACCACAGCACCTTAATGGCTATCACCCTTCTCTCCCACCGCACCACCAAGGTCCTTCTCCGCCCCCTAAGCAACACCACTATGGAAACGGCGTCCCTCCTCCACTCCCACATTCATACTCTGCTCACCAGAGCCCATATGGTCCAGTTCAATTACCACCTCCTAATGGGCATGGCCCATCACAGCCACCACAGCCACCTCCCCCAGCCACCTCAAATAGGCCGTACAACTCCTCCGCTACTTCCCCAGTCCCTCATTTCTCCCCACCGCATACCCTAAATGCACTCCAGCCAAACTCTCGTATGTTCTCAGCCGAGCGACCCGCTGCACCAGGCCATCAATCGCCTTCATCGACGCGTCGTACCCTTGACCCGCCGCGCCCGGCCACCCCTGCAGCTGGGGATGAAAATATTGCACCATCAGGTAATACGTCTACGAGGCCCAGTAGCTCCGGGCGCTTTCATAACACAAATGTACCGACGGGTGGATCTGGATCGGGAGCCAGTGCGAATCCGTCGCTAAAGAATCTACTATCATAAAGTATCAGACTCGTTCGTGTCTCTCTGTGTGTTTCCGGGAGGAAAAACTGGAGGGGCTGGGTATCATTCTCTCTAAATCAATTCCATTTATTCCCTTATTGATTCCTTACTCTATTCATATTTCATGGAGTCAACAAACTTGACTTCCTTCAAAAATTTCTTTCTCTTTCCTACCTCTATTTTTGTGGCTTAGGGGGTTTGGGGAACGAAATAATACCACACACTCGCTCTCTCCCTCTCACTATCTTCCTTTCCTGTGAGTTTAATTAATTGTATGCATGAGCCACTTTTTGGGTGGTTTGTTATCAAGATAACCCTTGCCCCTACAGAAGGGACCACGCAAATTTTCTTTTCTTTTCATTTTCCCCGCCTTTTCTTATATTTTATTTTTTTCAACATTTTCTAAGGTGTTATATTGGCCGAGCTGGATAATGGGATGGATATCATAGATTTGTTGTTATTATCATTAACTATTACTACGATCGGGGAACAGCAAAAAATGATGTTTTATTTTTGCGGTAATTTTTGGTGGTTGGCGATTGGATTGGTGGATGATCGATCGATTCATCTAATTAATTGCCTTGTGATTGCTTTTTTGTTTTTTTATTCCCTTTTTGTATATCTCCTCTCCCCCGGGTCCCACCCTATTTTTTCCCCTACTTGTTCTACTTTTCTATTTGCATTGTTTCTTTTTATTGCCGCTAGGCGTGGATTTTGCTATTTTGTTAATAGATAAAAGGGCTGAACTAAGATCATCAGAAACAATTATAATTGAGTATTAGGATATATATATATATATATATATGTACTCCGTACTTGCCTTGCCTTTGTTTTTGTCCGTCCGCAATACGTTACAGGAGGTATGTGTTCACCCGTTGAAAAACCCTCTTGCGTAAGTTTAGATATGAAAAATGCAATATAATCGCGAAAATAGAAACGAGAGTATCTATATTCTACTCTGAATGTATACACCAAACCTAGAGCCCCCGACCCCGCCGCCGCCCCATTGTTAGTTTTTCATTCTTTGACTTTCAGGGGAAAGGGGAGGAAGCGGCCTGGTGTTTTTTTTTTTTTTTTTTTTTTTTTTTTCCAGTGGAATCAATCAATCCGGAACTTACGGATGGGGGGTCTTCCATTCCTCAGGGCCAGAATCGCTCTTCTCCTGATTGGCCTGTGGGTTTGGCAAAATGTGACAACATCATGCACGTTAGTTAGCTTATTAAATGTATGGATGGGTAAATAGGGCATGCTCTACGGTTGGCAGCGGGTGTAGTCTCGGTTGCAGTCACCAGTGAGAAAAAAAGGAAAGAAAAAGCCAACAGTCAACAGGAACAAAAAGAAGAAAAAGTCATCAAAAAACGCATGATTCAAAAGGAAACCCAACGCACATTATCCGTCACAGCAATCAGCTGTGGATTCACCAAATCAGTCGCAAACTCCCGCCGCTTCGCCGTCGTCCAATCTGCCGAGCCGCTCTTCTACGCAATGCTTAGCGGCACGACATGAGGGGGAAAGTAGCAGGAAATGGTGAAAGTCCCTCTAGGAAACGTAAAGGGGGATGTTCTCATCTCTTGCATCTATAATTTATATATATTTTCCATACTTCATCTTTGCGCAGAACGTGAACTCTCCGGAATGTCTACTGGGGAGGAGAGAAGCTAGCTTTCTCGATAGAGCGAACTTGGAGGGCCACACATTGTTGCAGATTTGGTGGCGCAGAGATCAACAAAAAGAAAAGAATGATCGACAGCTTGTGTTCTTGGTTGGCTAGTTGGCAGCTAACTACGGAGTAACATATTCTTCACTTCTGGCAAGCCTAAGGCCTTACCGTAGCCGTGGCGCAAGGTGTATGCGCATGTACCGTACAGAGTATGGGAGCGGGATATTCAGGGAGCCCGAAAGTAGAGAGAACCCTACGTCTGAGGGCGAGCTCATGTCCTTTAACCATCAAGAGCCCGGTACTGTGTTGCACATCTGGGACGTTTGGTCCGGCTCGCTGGTTGATGGCGATGCAAAGGATGCGATAGAGCATAATTGGATATTCCCAGCGCTGAAAGAATCATATCTTGTATATATTGTAGTCCGCATCGTGGGTTTTTCCTCTGATGTCTCTTGAGTACGGAGTACGGAGTAGATGTTTGATGTTGAGGCGCTCACTAGTTCCGAGTTAGCGTGTCATGGGGCTTAAAATGAATTGCACCGAGGTAGACTTCCAACGACGCGTTCTCCGTGAGACAGCTCTGGGGAGAGCATCAACTTCCAACCTCCAACTTCCAACCTCCAACTTCCAACCGTGCGCTGTGTCTCATAATGGCTAAAGAGAAGCCATCAGCGCATAGAGTACAGACCGTCAAGACAGGGAACAAAGACATATTTATGAGCATTAAGCCCGAGCACATTGACAACATCGCGACACGCGCCAAAAATCACGAGTACCGCCGCTACCTCCTCCCTTCCAGCGTTCGTCGCATTTGGTTCTACACCACCCGCCCCGTCTCACGCATTGAGTACGTCGCGCATATCTCCCGCGGCAAGGTCCCTGGTGAGGTTCCGGAAGATGGCGGTATTGGCAATGCAGACTTCAATGCAGGCAAAAAGATCTCGAAATACGCCTACGAAATCCTGGATCTGTGGAGGCTGAAGCAACCCATCAGTCTGAAGCTGGCTATCTCAAGGGGGCTTCTAAAGGGCCCCCCACAGAAGTATTGCTGGGTGCCACTCTCTCTCCTGGATAACTGTCCAATGGACGCGCAGGATCATATAATCGCCAGGGCGCCGCAAGAACTGTCCGTGGAGAAGGCGATGAAGGGCTCTAGTCCCCCGGAGCAATCCAAAGAAACACGTGGCTCTACTGAACGGGGAAAAATTACCGGGTTCTTCAGTTTTTCGGGTGCGAAGAGTCCGGCCTAGGGTTAGGAGAGTATTGGATTTTGGGGCACGTTTGGCTGGATCACCGGAACCCAATCCGGTCTTGAACTCGTCAACGAGACTACACAACTACGTTACGCTGCACATGTCTTTGTATGGAGTATAGAAAATTGGTTCTGAGTTAATATCTAATATGTTGCTAAGCTGAATTGTTCGCCTGGACCAGTTTCATCCCTCGGGATATCAGCTGCTTATCGATATAATCAATAGAGTAGTTCCTAAAGAGCTTTCTTGGCTCTTCTACCCAATCCTGTATTTCCGCGAAGAGTGCGTTCAGAGCGCCTTCGGTTTTCATAAATGTGTCCGCATCCAGCATGTACCTGCGCCCGTCATCACACAAGTACTTGTATGCCCCTTTCTTGACATACAAACTCTTCGAGAGCTTACCTCCGGACCAGTCGACGATCAGAGGAGAATAGAAGATAATCGGAGCCTTTGCGGGACACTCGAGGAGTCGCCATGTAAATTGTTCTTGGTAGAAGCCTGCGTAGTCAGATCCAGTACACATGATCCACGACTTGTCCGGGTCTTGGCTGCAGATCAGGATCCGTATCAGATTGCGTAGTGGCGTGTTGAACTCGAGTCTTTTTAGATCCGAAGCGGATGATAGGCTAACATGATGTTCTCCATGGTTCGGGCAGACGAATGTGATTCGGCCGTCATGGAGGTATTGATTATTTACCCCGTGTTTGTCCGTTAGTCCGCATCCGTCGTGTGGGCAGGACGCTCGAATAGCTAGTTTCCCTCTATCTGGGGACATATGCGGCCCAAGGACTTCACGCTGGGCCACGATGGTGCGGAGTACACCAGGGAATGCAGGATGTGAGAGCCAGAGATTTTGGGTCCCAACATCGTACGCTATGCCAGAAATCTTCGAGAGCTGGTCTAGTACTTTCACGAAGGCTGTTTGGTTGTCTTCCAAATCACCCATGTGCTTAAGACTCCTTTGATATATGACTCCATTAATATTGGCCTCCTGCCCAGGAGATGGAGCGTTGTCGACGTATACGAATTTTACCCTGACTTCGCGCCGAAATTCCTTCCGCAGTGCAGCAGCAAGGGCGAACGCCACAGTAAATGTGGTAATGTTGCCAATATGTGGACTACAGTTTGGCTGAGATCCAACATGGAGAGCGATCGAGGATCGAGAGCATTGATCATTCAGATATTTGATCAGGTGCTCCTTGAAGTAATAAGATCCAGCACCCAGTGGATGATGGGTCTCTCCGTCGTGCTGGATCATAATACGGGTTTAAGACACGAAACACAGTGAATTATAAAACTTCTATAGAGTAGTTTTAGTTTTATTTGCGGAGCGAGCGTAGCGAGTGAAGCAATATATATAGGCTTTTCGTGCCAGAAAATTTCCTCTTTCGGTCATCGGGATTAGGAAAGCATTCTCGCGCTCTGATTGGTCAATGAGAAGCTACGCTCACGTGATTCCACGTGACCGCCCGCGTTGCTGCAACGGCCCGTATAGAAAGGCCTGAGCAAGATAAACAAGCCATTACAGCTTCATTCATTCTATTCTATTCCAAGGCTCTTTTTACTGCATCTGTATAAATAGCCAATCTGAGCTTCTTTATTGCTGCTTGCTACATTTCAAAAAATTATAATAAATCTAATCATGATTTACAGCTTTTAAAAAAGAGTCTGCAGACAATTCATAAAGATTTCTTTCATCTTACATTGAAATCTATTGTGAGGGGTGATGACAGTGTGAAGAGTAAATAGTAGAAGATAGTATATAGTGTAGTGGAAGATAATAATAATTATAGTAGTAGTAGTAATGTAGTTGAAGTTGTAGCTAATCGCTAAGGAGGAAAAGAAAGAGAAAGAAGATGTGCGAAATACATGCATCCATATATATATACATATAGAAATAGTGGTAGCGAGAGTATAATGGAAAGAGGTAAGAATAGATAAAGATATAAACAAAGATAATATAATAATAAGGAAATAATAAACGAGTGCATTACAATTGCCCCCCTTTTTTATAAGAGCTGCCCTCAGCGATTGTATAGATTGCTTGCTAGTAGATGTTTGCATTTCCGTATTGTAAGTGCCGCTCGTTGATAGCAGTGTATCGATCGCGTCCCCTCAATAGCTTGTATACGCGTTGTTATCGATTCCTTAATGAGGTAGAATTGGTGGATTCTTTGGTTGCTAGGGGTTGCGTGCAGAGAAACAAAAAGAATTTCTTTTCCTTTGAAAATTTCTCTTCTTTTTTAACTTGACCATCATCAAAACTCTTTGCCCTCCTTCTTCGATTTTTCGTTCCTAATTCAATAAAATTTTCGTTCTCCCTCCCCCCCCCTTTTGTTGAAATGGGCTCCCTCGGATATCCCGATTTTAAGTAAGTTGTTCTCCGGGCGCTTATCGCGTATTATTGTTGGTGTTCTCTGTCAGTGGCGTTATTAGTGTGGTCACATGCTTCACTAGCTTTATTATATATTTACAATATCAGAATTAGAGTAGTTAACTAGTTAGTTAGTTAGTTAGTTAGTTAACTAACTAACTAAAACACAACTGGTATTTGTGCCATTCAGAGCATCAATTATATTTTAAGTAAATCTAATAGTTATTTATTGTTCTTTGCACTGTGCTTTTTCTGTGGTTACAAGGCACTTAGTATCTCTTTATCTGATGGTGGAAATTCATCTTCAAATAATCATCATTAATTATAACCATGTCTAAATCTTCTAATTACACTGAGGAGCAGTTGCAAAGAGCTGTTGATGTGTACAAAAGCAATTCAAAATTAAAAATCACATCTCTGTCGCCAGAATTCAAAGTCCCATATGCCACCTTGTATGGGAGGATCAACGGGAAGAAATCAAGGACTATGAGGGTTCCACTGAATAGAGCATTGAATGACAGCCAGGAGGAGGCAATTAAGATATGGATTCATCAGTTGGATATTAATTTTAGCCCGCCCACCATCGAGCATATCGAAGCCGCCGCGAACCGCATGTTGAGACAGCATCATACAGATCCAGAGACCGCACCTCCCACAGTAAGCAAGATGTGGGCATATCGATTCATCAAACGCCTGCCAGATTACGAACGGGTCAAGCAAAAGCCCATGAATCCAAAACGGGTATCTTGCGAGGATATAAGCTTCATTATCAACTGGTTTGATCGATATGAAGCTGTCTTCAATCAATATCACTTTTTCCCCTGCGATATCTACAACTTTGATGAGATTGGATTTCAAGAAGGAGAAGGATGTGGACAGTGGGTAGAGACACAAATTCCGTCATACAGTCATCATACTCCCGCGGGGTAATAACAGTGGTGGAGTGTGTCAGTGCAGATGGCACAGTATTGGATCCATTGATTATAATGAAATCGAAGGTCCATCTAGAGGATTGGTATACACACTCCAACTTACCTGACAACTACGCCATCACCGCATCCGAGTCTGGCTTTACAAATGATGAGATTGGATTTGAATGGATCAAGCGGTTCAATAAGATGACAAAAAAGCGTCAAATGGGCAGTCATCGACTGCTATTAATGGACAATCATGGTTCTCATCTCACAGAAGAATTCATCCAATACTGCGACCTCCATAAGATTATTCTATTCGGATTCCCATCTCATACAAGTCATATTCTACAACCTCTTGATGGCGTACCTTTTCAGCAGTATAAGCATTATCATACAAAGGCAGTTAATGAGGCCGCCCGCTACGGATATGAGCAGTATGGTGGCAGACAATTCCTTGCTAATCTGGAGAGCGTCCGACTGCAAGCATTCAAACCTGGCACTGTGAGAGCTGGCTTTGCCGACCGCGGAATGTATCCAGTTAATCGCGATATAATTCTCAATCGATTGAGACCTCTTACCATTGATGATGCCCCGGATCTCAACATATACGATGGCGATGGTGATGTATGCAATCACTTTACCCCGCCGCCTGCAGATCGACCGTCAACTGCCTCTTTGCAATTAACCTCCCCAGAGACAGTTGCAAAACTACATCGCCAAATCGATGCAGCAGCCAAGGCCTTACAAGATGTGAAGGATACCCTTACACCTGGTTTGACAAGGCGGTTGGACAAGATCTTCAAGGGTAGCATGGTCCAGGCGGAATTGAACGCGCACCGTGAGGGTGAACTTGCAGGTCATTATCGAGCAAATAGACGTCGGGTCGTCAAATCCTCCCGCAGGCAGGTGCAAGTAGGCGGAGTCCTCACTATTAAGGATGCCAATCGCAAGATCGCGACCCGTAGAGCAGATGAGATGAAAAAGACGTTCAATAAGAATCTTCAGTCGATTGGAATCAAACCTACAAAATCTACAGCCACTCAACCACAACAAGATAATTCTATAGAATCTCAACCTACAGTGGATTCTACACCTTCTAATGAGTATATAGATAATCTTTATGTTATAGATAGATGTGGTGGTGGTTATTAATTAATTTTCGAAGATCACTATATTCAAAATATTTTCCGTACGCTGTGGTTTTCCGTACGCTGTGGCGCACTCACTAGAGAGAGTGAGTGAGCATGGCACGGTTAGTGCCAGCCTTTCTGCTTCTGAAAGGAGGGAGGATGGATCTGGTTACGTTCGACGTGCTATTTTTCGTCGCCCATGCACACCAGTCGAGGTCGCTTGCTCCACATCACGCATTGGTGCCTAATCGACGGTCAGCAGAAGATGTATTGCGAGGGAATGTAACAATTACTGGGCGCGTTTTCAACCCTAGGATGGATAGCCAAGTAGAAAAACTGCTGGCTCAACTCGAAAAAGAGCGGGCATTACGAGAAATTGCGGAAGCACAGGCGGGAAAGGAAAGAGGACTACGACAAGAAGAACAGCGACGACGCGAAGAGGAACAGCGACGACGCGAAGAGGAACAGCGACGACACAAAGAAGCAGAGGGCCGTGCTGCGGATTCCGAGTTTACAAATCGAGTTTCTTCCGAGCGCGGCGAGGACTGCCAGCGTGCTCATAGAGAGCTCGGGTTCACGGTGACTTTTTGCCAGGCGGTGATTGGGGGCAAAGGCAAATGCCGCAAAAAGATTCCTTGGACCGAAATACAGCTTTGTTTCGAACACAAAGATTTCGCCTTACCATGCTACATTCTGCGTCTGCCAATCGAACTTCGCCAACACATTTTCTCATATATTCTTGACGAATATCAGGGTAGCTATTCGAAATTTTTCACATATTACGCCTTCCTGAAACTGGCGCGTCTGAATCGTCGGATTTTTCAGGACGCAACTGATGTCCTCTACCGAACTCTTGTATGCAATTTCTTTTTGTCTGGTGAGTATGTGTGCATCTTGGGAAGATATTTCCACCCAATCCAACCTGGTTCCTGGCAGCGGTTTAAACAAATTACCTTTCAACTCGATGTTTCGTGTGATATTTCGGTACAGTATGGGCCAATGGTAAAAAACATTCAGCTCATTGCATCACATCTCCGCGATTTCAACCTCGTCAAACTCCATGTTTATCTCGAGTCGTATTTGTTTTTGAATCAGGGCACATACAGTGCTGGGTTTATCCACCACACGTTACCGTTGTTGGATCCTTTTCGGCAGTTAGGGAGAGTGAGGGAGCCCAGTTTCACGATAGACCGGGTATATGCAGGCGGGTCGGGTGACATTGAACAGTGGTTAATATCCAGATCAAATGACGCTGAAGTCACAGCCATGGCGATGGAATGGAGAAGAACTTATGAAGAATGGGCTGAAAGCTTGAGACGCGGATACCTTGAGGAAGGGAAACGAAGTGCTTTGGTCCTTCAATTCTAGAAAGTTGACTAAACCGGCCGGGCTTCGACTTTCTTCGGCGCCACGACTTATTGTTCCGCAAGGGCCACGGCTTGAATCGCAGTCTTGTTGATCCTAAAATCTAATAGCGACTTGTAGAGCATGTCAAGTCGATACAGATAGATCATGTTTCACCATTTGTTTTAACTATTGACAAATCACTTCTGCAAGGTCCACCACGCTTCCATAAACCCGTCCTCGTAATGATTGGGACCTAGCGATGTGAGATCCCAGACGGTGACAACAGGTTCTAGTAAGATAGGGATATAGCAAGCTGTGGCAGAAAAATGACTAAATTGTGCCAAGGTCATGTGGTTGATTTTGGCTCCCACTGGGTCGTTATCATTCTCGCTTGCTCTTGGAGAGAGCATGCCTGGATAGAGCTTTGTCGTAAAGTACGACGAGAATGCCAAGGCAGAGAGTATTGATCACAGCCGGGTTAAAGATAGTCCATTCCGTTGGGCAGCAATGCGTTCCCCTCGATGCTTTACTAGATTATTATATTATTCCAAGTTCGACTCGCTTGCAACCAGTTTGGATGAAATCGGACAGGATGATGAGGCAGACCTTTAACGAAATATAGAGAAGCACTTTGCGAGCCCTCATCCCAGCCATACCTGTTTGAATATATTCGCGGCTTCGGGAATTTCATGTTCCGTATCATGTGACTCGTTTGTTTACTTCTTGCCAAATGACTTATCCCAACAAAGAAGAACAATACTTCAGCGTGCTTGCTACCCTTGCACCGAGGACTTCTAAAAATCCTTATTACATTCTAACCCAGAATAAGCCATAGCGAAGTTTTGTAACTCAACATCTTGCCTGCACTGGCCTGGTAGGAACGGCGTCACAGAATGGACAGCCGAGTACAACAGCTACTGGCTGAACTCGAAGAAGAGCGGGCATTACGAGAAGAAGAACGGGCATTACGAGAAATTGCGGAAGCACAGGCGGAAAAGGAAAGAAGACTACGACAAGAGGAACAGCGACGACGCGAAGAGGAACAGCGACGACGCGAAGAGGAACAGCGACGACGCGAAGAAGCAGAGAGCCTTACTGCAGATTCCCAGCTTACCACATTTCCATCCCACCTCCGCGGCTGCCACGAGCTCTTACTCGCCATCTGCATCGTGACAGACCCGACAAGAACCACTCAGGGTACCGTAACAAAGCCAACCAATCGGAGGGTTCCTTCGCGCATCATAATATGGGACGACTTCTTTGCTAAACAGGAGGCGTTCTGGAGGATCCTCAATGATCATCCTTTATTTCTGACGAAAAAGCAGTTTCCGTCAAAACATCAGCTCGAGTATGTCCTCCAGTTCATCACCCCGATCACTTCGGAATCGGATCTTCGATATTACGAACGAGAGGCGGTAGAGAACCAGGTTCGCAAAATCGTCGATCGGATCACCGAAGACGAACTCTCAGAAGGCGTTTGGACTGCGAGGCTCAATC